GACCATTCACCACGCCACACACATCGACTGCAATCTGAGCCCCGAGAGTTCAATATCTTGTAAACCCGAATGCGACGATGCAAAACATTTTATTCACCCTATATTCAGTTGACAATCTACAATTTGATTTTTCATATAAATTAGAAAATAGATTTGAAAAGTGGATTATATCTCAATTAATTTAATTCCAAAAAACATAGGATGTGAAAAAAAGCTTCAACAAAAGGTTCAACTAACAAATGTCAATATCATCAATATCGATATTTGATCCGTCGGTTCAGCGACTAGTCCATGTAGAGTAGGGTGTTACATAAGCATTGAACGAAGGTACACTTTGGTTGGGTTCAATTGCTTTTACGAACGTAGAAAAATTAGCTTAATGTGATTCTGTCTATTTTTCAATTGCATCGGTTTCCCAAAAGTCAAGTTGAGCGCCAAATAATGGACATACACTAAGTCGTCCGAAATTTTCTTGTCCGTCGTATACGTCGACTAATGTTGATATGTTCGCCAGTGAATTGGAGCTTGATATGCTGAAATAATTTTGAATCTGACAACAAACAAGGAATTTTTACATAAGTAAGGCAAATGACTGACTAATGTACAATATTATGTTACTATAGCTTACATGAATGAATGATCACCATTTGTAGAATAAAAAGACACCATCTGTCTACGTACAACAGATTGTGGAACACAGGTTTTCCTTTGCGCGGTCATTGTTTCTAGATTTTTCACCTGCAAATCATACAGACAAAATATTTTTTTCTTTAGTTACTTTAAACTAATGTCAATAGATCACATAATAGCAGAATTGAGTGATCAATGCATAAATACACACACAGTTATTTTCATAGGTAAACTTTTCGCGCATTCAAATCTTTCTCGGAAAAATTCAAACAAGCAAAACATCGAAACGAAAAATGGCAATGTACGCATAAACATTGAATTGTGTGTTAATTATTCTCAATCTGGGTATGTTTTCATTTTTGAATGTTGTTATTATTTTGTGTTCGCAAATTAGTAACTAGGAGTCAAAGCATGAATTATTCATTCAATGAGACATTTATATAGATTATCCGTTTGGAAATTAGCTCTCTGATTTTTTTTGAATCATTTTCGGATATTCGAATGTTCTTTTTCTTAGTTTGAGTCTTTACATCTGGTCATCCTAGATATATATTATCTTTTGATACAGCACAAGTCTCGGTTTCTTTGTCGATATCCTTTCTTTCTTTCTTGATGCGCGTGTGAAAGGTACTTTAGAATCATAAATGAAATACTTCTTCTTTGCCATCTATGATATCATCTAGTTAAAAGTAATTAAATTATTCGATAACTTACTTGTCGCAATCGGACATAAGAAAATTCGTAGAATCCAATACAGAAGGAAGTCATTTTAAATATAATATTTTTGTTATCACCACTTAAAGATGATCCAATTTTGAACGCCTGGTGACGATCATTCATATGTATATAAAATTTTAATGTAAATTGTATTCACACCAGTAAAGTCTTGCAAATACCTGATAGTAGAATATACGAATTTGATAGAGATCTTGTCCGGTGGTGTATTTACAGGTTTTGCAGTAACATTCGCAATGAATAATTCGAACAAGGTGACGATTTCAAAAAAAATACCTCAAACTATAATGTTTGCAAACGATCATAAAAAGCAAAAATGTTCAGTGATTATGGAAAGTCAAAATGTGAAATATTTTGCCGAGTACGACTTTCACTATTCAAATAGTTAATCTTCAAAGGTTGTTATCTTTGGTCATGTAATCCTTCTATGAAAAAATGGTCGATTTTCTCACATATCCTCTCTTATTTAACTATGAGTGATTGCAAATTGGATGAATATTTTCTCTGAGCGCTATGAGATTGTCGCTGAATCAATATCAATAAGTTGAATGTTCTTGGTACAAATAATGGCAGACAGCGACGCATCTTCATCAAAATCCGTTTTTTAATCATAACAATTAAGCACATCATTTTTGTAGGTTGAGTTGACGCAAAGATACCATTGAGAGAAACGGTTAAATATTTCGAACATATTTCGAAGTGCAGTTAAAAGGGTATTTTTTTTTGAGAATGACAATCCATAAGAAATTGTATAATAATACATGATAATTGACGACACAGGAAAAGAAGGAAAAGAAAAAGCCTACAAGAAATTGAAAAAACATACTAACCAGTAGGTAATATCATTGTGCATGCTTTTGACGAATACAAAATCGATATGTTTTACTTTTTCTTTCAATTCACCGAACTCTATTATCGACGTAGACATATTTAGAAGAAACAATCGAAATTCGTTGAATAAAGTTGAAGTCCATGACATAGCTAAAAGAAATTCATCGAAAAAATCTTTTCATGTATTGATAAAACGAAAACAAGTAAGAAGGGAAACGCGTAGATAGGATAGCTTCTTTATTGATTTATTTTTCCCTTTATTCGATCCTTCTGAGTACCCATTAAAAGTGTCTTTTATCTTCTACAGCAGTGGAACCATCGAAAAATTTATCGAAAGTGAACGACATCTTTTCGTTAGTCTGTGAAATACCATTTTCAGTTGGACGAAGTTTCATATTTAATGCTTCTCTTCTGGTTGACACATGTGAGCCAGAAACATTAGACTCATTCCATAGAAAAGTTACGAGACAATCAAATGACAAATCCATACTCTATAACATTCTAAACTATGCGTCTCGCTTTTCATCAACTCAATTGAAACATATGAATACAGCTAACGCTGAAGGATACACAACTACTTCACTTTTCTTTTCCCTATTTTGAATGTCATTTTTGATGAAAAAATTCGAAACGACGAATTTAGTCTTACGAGCTGTCTTGCATTATGATTCAAATGAGTCAATTCATATGGGTAAATATCTCATATCATTTTCCTGAAGTTATATACTATGTTTGCATACATTAAATCCTTGACGAGATGATGGTTTCCCTTGAACTTCAATTAAGTATTTTCAATTAAAATAAATTTCTGTAGACTAAATTCTTAAATGATTTTTTGATAGAAATGCTTTTTCTCTTTCATTATTTTCGAAATATATACTCTACGCATTGACATGTAAATAGAATTTATAATTCTAATTTTAAATTGCTATTATTTTGATAATTCAAAGATCAATGTTATTTGATATTGACTATAGCTTGTTTTTTGCTATATAAATATTTATACTGAATAAGTTACCGTAGATATTTCGAATACTTTTAGTTGACTGTTTGTCCCGATGATTTAAACGTTTTTTGATGTTATTATAATCTCAATTGAAAAAATGTTTAATTAAAGATATCATTTGAGTTGGTCTAATCTTTAAATTATATTTCAATACATGAAAGATTTATTTATATAAAATCGTCTCTTAACTTATATGAAATATGTCGAGTATCTATTAAAATCCTTTAGTGATGGTCAAGACAAGCTTCTATCACAGGTATTCAATCCCTTCAATTAATAAAAATGAAAATTGAGAGTGTGTATGTATTAGGGCAAATCTTTTTTCAATGTTGTCCATACCTTCACCGATAAGAAAATCATTTTGAGATTATTTAGACAATGGCTTTATCCTATACGATGGTTTTTGACACAGTAAATATGCTTCGTGTGACCAAAGAGAGAAACATATTCAGTTTCGCACGTCGTCACCATTGTTATTAAAAAAGTGGCCAATACGTGTATATAGGACATGGACTGATTGGACGCCTCACTTTTTATTTGCGCGTTCTTTCTCTCTCTTCTCTTAAACAATGAAAAACATCATCAAAGCTCGCCAGTCTACATATTATTACATAGAAATAAAATCGCTTGATTCTTTTTCAAGAGAAATAATTAAATCATTTTATTTTATTCTGTTCCTGGCAATCAGCCCTTTTTGTTTCCCAATCTTCGTTAGCAATATCGAAACAATCATCACATATCGATGAAGTTATCTCGCGCCCTCAGGAAGACATTTGCTTCATTACTTATTATGAAGAGTGCATTTCTCATTTCATTCGAAGTTATTTCAAATGAAAATAGCACAAAACAACAATTTGAAGAATGGTCGGCATCTCTACTGCTCAAATCGGATATAGTAAGCATAGGCGTGTAAATAACGTTGATTTCATTCTAATCTAAGTTTTTTTAAATTTTTTCAGATAAACAGTGCATATTCGTGCTTTGTTGATCTGACTGACACTCGATGACACTCACTCAAATACAAGCCAGCTATGAGTTCAGCTCGTATTGCATGTATCTGGACTGTCTTCCAAATCATGATTACGATGCTTGTTTCGTGTACGAACACATCCTACTAGTACAAGATGATTAACGATATTTGTTTTGTGATTTACGAGTATTCTCTTTTTTTTGCCTGCATAATTGTTAAGGGTCGGAACGATTCATTTTTTTATGGTCCAGTCTAGACTCGAAGGAAGTTTTCATGAAAAATTCAGCGCTGTTAAACTTGAAAGTTGAATTCAATTGAACAACTATCCTTTAAGATTAAAATTTCAACTTTTCTTGTTTTGATGACATGTACATCTAGAGGAAAGCGGTGTATATCTTTTTGTTCGAGACTTAAAGCTTCATAGTGGAATCAAATTTAATTTTTAAGTTTAATACATATTTCAAAATGAGTAAGTACAAATATTTCACATGATAACTGATATTGTTCGTTGCATATATGACATTCTAAAAACGACTTTGAACAGGGTTTTTTCCTGTCATTTCCACATTATCAGGAGGCAGACCATCGATTTGAATGTTGTTCTTTTCATCGAACCATGCTCCTTCAGTCGACATAGCAAGATTTAAACCGGAAGCTTGAGTTCGCTGTACCTCGTTTGCTGCAATACCCAAATTATCTTGAGCTATCCAGATTATTGGTTTAGGATCTCGTATTGATGGATGCATGTATGTGTTCTCCATTGTATTGTCGTACCGCTCAAATACCATATCCCTTATATTGTTAACAGCTTCAGTATCACGAGTCGTTTCAGGGAGACTCAGAACACTGATAGTCGTCTTGGCCCATGCGAATTTGCCAGAGGCGGGAACATTCAGCCGTGAGAATTCTTCTGCATCAACAGGCAAATAATATGTCAGAGGATTGAAGCTTGATCTCATCACAAATTGAACGCCAATCGTGATAATGATCAACACACACATTAATACACCTTCGGCAATTGCTGATTGTGAACCGGATTCATTTTGTGCCAGGAAGAAAAGTGCCGCAAGCATAATTTCCATAAGATAAACACCCGTAAACGACTGATAAATTGCTCTCGGAAAGGCAAGACCACCGGTATCGTTTGGAAAATCTGATACGTAAAACATTGTGTAAATGTATGCAATGTAAAACAAGCCGAAGGCTAACCCGGAAATGACAAGCACTAAAGGTGCAATTATCGAGTATACTAGACTAATAACAACGAAATTTGTGAAAAGAGGATATATCGTGCCCCAATCAAGACTATTAAGCGTGAAGCATCGTTTCCACTTTTTTCGCGGTGTATTGTCCAATAATTTTCTCAGCAGATAAAATGAAATAAGTGCAAAAATTTGTAAAAAAACATTGGAAGCCACACTCAGTCCTTGTAATGCCAAAAAGCTGAAGAAGAAATTGCTTGCAGTCGGAACATTTGCAGCAAGTATTGTTGCGGCACTTGGCGGATTTTGAACAATAACTATTATGACACTCGTGATACTACTCGAAATAGTAACGACCAGGAAGACATGAACGACTTGAAAAACAAAGTAGGATCCTTGTACATAACGATCAATAGCATCTGTTGTAGGAATTCCAGATGTTTTCGCAAATAGTCTTAGTACGATAGGGAGTAATGCCATTAAAATAGCCAAGAGAACGGCTGGCAAGAGACCGGTAATTAAGCCCAGAAGAGGGCTGGGTAAGTTGTAAATGAACTGAAAAAAGGTCAACTTGTTTGTGAGGTAAGTTATGTTAGAAAGGATGCCGATACAGGCAACGGGAATAGTCCAAAAAACAATAAGAGCTATAGTTGCAGCTATCATGACGAGTTCTCTGGCCTTTTTCTGGTAGTATGTCATCTTCAAATTTGACCAAACAATATTTTCTGCTTTCACATCGTTGTAACAAGGTGTCATTGCTAAGGGAATAGAAGCGGCAACACTTTGAACTGCCATATGAGCTGCTATCTGCTTATTGAATTGAATGAATGCAGAATTTATAGGTGCATAATTATGGAGAGTTGTTTTCGCCGTTTCGATCTCTGTATTAAGTTGAGATATAGTTGCCTTGCAGTACGTCATTGTATCAACCTTTGTGCCAAAGCACAGGGATGAGAGCAGTGGAATAGATCCAATCCTCATCGTCGGTCTTTCTTTTTCTGGAATATATTTATAGGTAATGTCTGGCTCAAGTTCTACACCAACAGTTTCTTCAGTTATCATTGGATGCACCTCTGAACCGATCTTTTTTCGACGTTTTGCCTCACTTTTCAGTGCAGTTTTGATCATTTTACATTCAGCTGTCTCAAGTAGTCCCACGAGTTTTGTGCGTTCATCCGCTTTGTCAGGAAGATCTTCGAGATCGCGATTCAACCAGATGTGCCTAACTCCACCTGGAAATTGGCTGAATATTCGGAGGAGAACGTCTTGCGACATATATGCTTCTGGTATTGCAGTAACGAGAATGGTTGATGCACTAGCTCGTGATTGATACATGGGACTTCTCAAGAGTGCTTGACGTTTTGCCACGAAGCCTTTCATTTCAGTGTATAAGAGGTACAGAAATGCGCCAATGAAAACATAAGCAAGTACCAATGGAGCTGCATAACGAGATGAATGAAGCGGTAGGATATTGCCAAAAGTCAGTACATCAAGACCTTTTTTACCATATGATTCACCTTTTCCATCGATAACATAAATAGGAAATAAAATGGTTGCTATAAGAACGAACGAACACAGAAAAAAGAAAGCATGAATGTAGAGATAGCGTGCGAAGAAATAGGCGTCGAGACCAGAGGTACGAATCAGATCTTCTTGTGGCATTTTCAACAAGGCTGGTAGCCAACCATAAAAAGTTCTTGGCAGAGGCTTGACACGTCGTCTTTTGTCTACAGCATATGTTTTTGGCTCATAGATACGTTTGAATCTTGTTCTAATAATGACAAATAATATGATTTCTATGGCAGCGATGACTGCAGAAACTACGAGAGTAGTAAGAAATTGTGAGACCGAAGCACTCTGCAAGCTTTGAGCAGGACTCGCCGTACTGCTTGCCATGTGACAATGAAAGTCAATGGAGGTTATTGAGGATAAAGAAATGCAAATTACAAAATAGAAATATGCGTCGTGTTGTTCTGTAATATAACAACTACTTGCTTACTAATCCTTGAGTCGCACACAACGTGTTTTGGTGGTTGTATTGCAATCGTCTTGTATACAATAGTTTATATAGTTACTTTCGATAATATTGGAAGGTTGTTGTACGACTGCAATAGAAGAGAGAGAAGAGAACGACAAATGAAACCAATTATTTTGAAATACTTGTATTCGAACGGCAGCAATGAGAAAAGTTTATTAGCAGAAACAATTCGATGGGTGAATAACAAGTCTTTAAGAGACTGCCGACAAAATTTAGAGCTGCAACGTTGTCAAAGGAGAATAAAAGAAGTAGAGAACAGTAAAAAAAAAAGGTGAAGTAGATTCGATAAAACCTATACCTCTCATGTTGTTAAATGATGCTGTTAGTCATTCAAGGAATAACTGCTGAATATAACAGAACACAGATCAATCACAACTTTCCTGTATACAGATGTAGGCGGCTCCACGAAAAAAAAAACTTTTTTTGCATATGAAAGACAATAGACAATCATTTCGTGATTTGACATCTTTTACACTAAGCTTGTATTCAGTCATCTCTATCTGATTTCAATTTGATAAAGAAAAAGAAGAGTTAAAAAGTTTATCAAGTAAAAAACATTGGTACTACAGTACTTTGATCTTGAATTCAGGTAGAAATTTTGATACTTACTCCTCTTTAGTATTTTTGAATGTAATAAAATATATTTATCATGTTTTATGGCTATGGTGATGTAGAGATATAGACTCACTACAATTAACTCTATTTTAAAAGGTAACAGCCATTAACAACTCCATGTAATGATTCATTTTATTCATACGTGATGCATGCTTCATTTTTCCTTTTTTTGTATTAATGTTATGTATGTATATTTTTCTTGTTTGAAGATTTATTTATATACAGTAGATATCGTTTGTCAATAGTAATTCAATTATTTGTTCTGGCTCAAGTAGTCGTAAACGAAATAGATATGGATTTACAAACCGAATGTTTAATAATGATGGTTAAGTTGAAGATATTGATATTAATGTAGAAGCAGATGCAAACAATGAATAACTTTCATTAAATGCAAATATCAGAAATTACCAAACTGATAAAGATCTTTCTGCAGATACGATCGAAGCAATATTAACAAAAGAGTCCGTTAAATTACATATCGAAATATGGAAAGATTTTCTCTTTGTAATGAAGCGTCTGCAAGAGAAAAGAAAAGTTTGGCTCCCAAAGAAATAATGCAGCTGCACGTATTTTTTTGTCAATGATTTTCAACTTAAGTAATGAAACGAAGCAAAATCAATCGTATTGCAACGTACACATATTAACCAAATGTGAATGATTCCGTACGACTGTCTGATATTTAGTAAGCGAACAAAATGACCGAAAAACATGACAGAATTTCACTTCTGTGGCAAAGGTAAATTATCGTACTGCAATGACGGTATTGATATACGGGCTGATATTTGAGAAAGCAAGAGGAATCTTATATACTGGCTGATAGTTAAAGATTGTGCACAATCATTCAATAGAACAATATCTAGCTTCAAATTCGAATTTTGAATATTTAAAGAATGAACATATGTAATTTTCAATGAAAATGTACTAATATGTTTTTTGTTACTATCAAAAAAGAAACTATGATATTTTTTTCTCAATAAAAATGCAATTGAATTTAGTTCAGTGTCAGTGTTGGTTATACTTTCAGCTGCATCCACACTCACATCCACTGATATTCGTCCAATTAATCTATTGTTTTCTCAAAAATAGATGCAACCTATATTGATTACTTGCTATTTCTTTTTACTATGATTGAATGAAAAAACATCGGTTTAAAGTACTACAAATGATAAGAACGATGTGAATAATCATGTCTATTACCCAAATCTAAGTCTAGTACTACAAGATCGATAAAGAAAACTAAACTGGTTCTCATTCATCGATTTTATGAAAAAATGCTCATTTCTTTAAATATTATATCCTAAGTTCATAAATTTATTGTCTGATCACAGCAGTAGTGCACAATATATGTTGAGATTGCTTCTTCTAAATCTTTTTTTTTTTCGTTTTCAACACAACACTATGACTCGATGAAAAATCACCATTCTCCATCGTCATCTCGCTTCATTCTAGAACATAAGCATTTGATTGTGCTGTAAGACTTAAATTTTTCTAAATGTTAACGATATCTGTTCCGTATCTGCCTGATCCATTTTAGAATGCAAAAGATTCGGCAAGAGCCTGAATTATATTCAGGAAACATCGTGTCAATATTCTGAAAATCACTAAAATGAGGCACTAATGATTTTTCTTCATTTGCAAAATTCGACCTGTTAACAATCTTGTTGATCAATCCTGTTCTTGATATCTCGTATGAACGATTGAATAGTTTATACTGAAATATTAACGTTACAAATTAGTCAAACGTAGAGATAAGCTTTGGATTCAAATAAAGAATGCGATTAGAATACTGATGGTTTGATTTTTATTTTTCTCAATCATAAAACATCATTATATAATTTGATTCAACAACTAGGATTTTCCCACGATATGATTGAAAGCACTTTGTTGAAATACATCTGATCATGACGTCTATTTTTGGTTTTGGCTTTTAAATCTACTATCAGTGGGAAATCTTTCTTCATCGAATAGCGAATAAGGCCATGGTCATATTTGATTGAGTTAATAGTATGAAAAAGAAAGAAAACAAAATATTACATGGCACCAGCATGTTTCGAACAAGTTTTCTATAGTTATTCGACGTTTGAATAAATATTAATGTGGGAAAATGCAAGACTTCGATACTTCAGAGTCTTACTTTTTTTCTCTGGTATATATAACACTTCGCTATTTTTCGTTTAGTTGAAAATTATTGGTTGAAAATTTTAACCGAACCAAAGGTTGTGCGCATGAATGTGACACGAGATGCGCTTGAATATTAGTTTGTTTGTAAGTTTTTTTATCGACTTCCACACTCATCAATTATTGCAAGAATTAA